TAATGATTTATATTACTGTATATTGCTATGTGTGTAAGGATTTCCCTCCATCAAAGTGTCTCTTATGTTTAAGTCTTACAAACATTACTTACTTAGTGCTCTGGAATGATCAGGATTTCGAATACCTTTCATTTTTAATCTCTGTAATAACATGGCTGATGTAAGCTGCCGCACAAGATATACAGACATGGAGTAATTCTATAAAGAAAGAAAATCTGTTTTAAGGACAACAGTGTTTTTGTTTTTTATTTATATAAAACATAGATGGAAGATACTCTAAGCGCTAAAAGTAACACTCAAACAACCTCCAAAGGAGGGTTGGCACCTGGGACAGGGACAACATCAACTAAGCATTTGGGGAAGCAATGGTTCTCTCACTGTGAAATTATTTTTCAATCACTTGTCATTTTAAAACATCCATTTGTATGGTAAACAATGTGGTCAAATGCTTTTCTGATTATGTATTCTAATTCAGCAAAATGATTAGCTTGGGGGTCACCATGCGAACATTCCCTCCCATGACAATCAGAGTATTATTTTTATTTTCTTATGTAACAATGCTTGCTTTCATAGTTTCATATGAAAACAATTCACACTGCACAAACCAAAATCAGTGGCACTGCTCAAAAATCAACACTTCAAATTTAGAGTGCCAAAATTCTAATTCTTTCAGAAAAGACTACCTGTTACACAGTCTAGAACAAACCACAGCAATAAAGCCCATATCAGCTTTTTTCTGAGGAAAAGACTAACAAATTAACTCCACTTGCTAAATTGGTATTTTACTAAGGAAGGACAAATAAACACAAAACAAACTACAAAAATAAAAACAAAGACCAGAAAGTGTCTATGTCCGATTCCATGCCTAGATATTAAAAAAAGGAACTGCTGTTAACTATTTAAAGAGGCCCGAGGGCTAAAATACTCTATTTTGCCTCTTTATTGCATACATTCACTCAATTTCACAATGAACAAAACATGTAATTGATTGCCAAACCAAATACTTCTAAATATTTTTTGATGTTCTTTTAAGTATCCAAATTCTAATAGCATTGCTTAAATTTTAGGTTTGTTGATCACTTTAATTACAAAGAAAAAGTATTTCCATAATAGAACAAAACTAGGATTTTTGCAATGACTCTTAACCATTTATTTAAAAATTTAAGCTATTTACAGCTCTATAATTATCTTTGTGGCTAAAACAAATAAAAAATACTACTATAAACATATAGCTCAATTTCTGCACATAAAACAGGAGAATTACAAGTTATTTCCATGAAATGGGAATACAATAGTTGATATTCAAAAATGTTTCCATTGTTTATTGAATAAACAATGAATACAACATAAACTTTCTGCTTTAGCCAATATCATAATTGATATCTTCATTTTGAGAGCGCGAATCAGTAGAAAGTCATGTTCATCAACCTGAAGATACAAAGGAAACAATTCTGAGTATCTTATGAGATGCCCCAGATGTTATCTGAAGCACTAGTTATTTATTTGAAGGCAAGAATAGAGATCAGGTTTTTAGGGCTCTTTGTTTTGTTTTCTGAGACAGGCCTTTGCTAGTCTGGAACTCGCTTGGTAGACCAGGATAGAGATCTATCTGCCTCAGCCTCCTGAGTGATAGGAAAAAGGGTGTGCACCACCATACCTGTCTAAGAACAGGTTTTTGGTTTTGGTTTTGGTTTATGGTTGAGACAAAGTTTCTCAAACTCACAGAGATCTACCTGCCTCTGACTCCCAAATGCTGGAATTAAAGATGCGCACCACCACCACCACCACCACCACCACCAGGCTAAAAATAGGTTATTAACAGATCATTTTAAATTATGAGTACTGTTAATCATTTTCCACAAAGGCCAATAAGCTGTTTTTGATCCTCTTCATAAATGTTTTCAGTTTATAAAAACACTTAGACACACACTGAGTTTAAATTAAACCACTATTTGAAGAAATATAAACACACACATATTTTCACTATAAAATGAAAAAAATTCATAAAATATTAAAGTAAAGTTAACCTCTACATTATCATCACTGCATAGAAAAAGCCTTTTTTTTAGAGGTTATAGTCAGGAAGCTGAAAGAAATAAGAGTTCTGCAGTTTCAATGTGAAATGTCCCTCATAGGCTCATGTGTTTGCAGACTGGGTCCCCTGGTGGTGGCACTATTTTGAGACTGTGGAGCCTTTTGGAAGTAAAGTTGAGACATGGAGAAGGTAGCTGTTTGCCACCATGCTCTGTCCACCATGATGGACGACATTAACTTGAATTATGAATCAAAACAAGTGTCTCTCTTCATTCAAGTTCCTTCTATCAGGTACTTGGTCACAGCAACAAGAAATTACTATAAAGCTGGTATCCTAAAAAAAGAAATCAACTCCTAATGAAGACACACTTTCATCCTATCCAGGAAAAAAATTCTTACCTTTCCAATTTCAGATGCCCAAGAAATAGAAATCTGATTTGGCACAGCTGACGACAACCTAACTAAAGATGTAATATTCAAGGGGCGTCCAGGGCGCTTCTGTTCAATCCCATTTTTAGGTGGTGGTGCATAGCCCTACAACCACACAACAAAATCATTTTAAAGGCTCTGTAGGATTTAAACACTTTCTCCAAGATACAACAGGATCTTGCCTAACTTTTGTTACATTATGTTATCTTCATTTTATCTTAGATACAAATACAAAGATAAAAATCCATACTCCACCATTCAAATTAATGTTGATATCTTGCCATACTGGCTATGAATCGTTTTACAGAAGACCAACTATACAGACAAACTGACACCTCAATAATAGCTCATCTAAAGAAGGCCCCATACAAAACACATACACATGAGTGGGAAGGAGTAGAGAGCAATCTTTAGGAATGAAAAAGAAATTCATTAAAATCTTGTGAGTAGTTAAAAATGCTTTCTACTGTCTGTTCTGAATGAAAGAGAAACTATTATCTTTAAAACCAGGTTTAGGAACTGGAAAGATGGCTGATCTTTAAAAGTGCTTGCTGCTCTTCCGGAAACCCCAAGATCAATTCCCACTAACCTACAATAGGTTTCTCACACTTGCCTATAACATCAGCTTCAAAGGATTAGACTCCCTTTTTTGGACTCTGCTGGCACCCACAGACAAATGAATGTGTGCACACATACCCAAATAAAACTGAAACAAAATCTTAACAGAACAAAAAAAGCTAACAAACAAAACACAACCCCAAAAGCTTTCAAGAGGCAGATACATCTCCGTGAGTTGCACGTTGGCTAGGACTATGTTAGTCTCTGTCTCAAACAATAACAACAAATGCACATCAAAACTAAAAACAAAAAACCCAGGATAACAAATTGTTTTAAAAACCACAATTTCAGTTGATATTAAATTGGCTTGACTTTGTTTTAAATAGGAAATATACTTACTTTTTATTTATAGTATATACAATT